CAACCTCATTTCACATATCCATCACTTCCGGGAAATGAGTTTAAATTGGGCCTTAGCTCTGCTTCAATTAGAGCTTGCAAATGTGAGTTAATTAGGCTGACGAGTGAAGGGTCAGCCTCTGCCAGTGGACTGGGCAGTATCCTCTGCACAGGCACTTGCCTGCAGTCACGCAGTCAGCAGCCTTGCTCTGGCCATGAGACAAGACTCAGGCTTTACCCTTCTCCCTTCACCTGGGATACCCAACAGGTAACCAGCTCAAAAATCATCACTAGTTTGTTGGGGGTCCTTGTTTTTCCTTAGGTAAATTTAACCAGATCAGTCCCATGTCTGGGTGCATTGCACAGCCTTGCAAGCCACGGCTGGGTGCAGCGCGGTGGGTAGCATGGAGGGCAAGAACCAGGCACAGGGCAGTATGGGGATGTCGGAGACATGCCAGGGCATCCCTTGCTGAGAGAGCTGTGGCAGGGATGAAGGGAATGCATCCTTGCAGCGCAGCTGTCATGCACAGCATGGACACCATGGCTTCTCACCAAAAGACACTATGTCCCTTCAGGAGCTGTCTGGTGCCTCCTGGATGTCTCCAGTCAGGAGAAGAGGATATGGAGCCAAATATTTCCTCAACACAGCCCTGTTGATTTACAAAGCAGAGAAGTTTCTTTGCTCCCAAACCCCTCTCAGTCGATTCTTGGCCCCGCATAACCTCTTCTGAGCATATGCTCTCAGCACATGGTGCAGCGCCCCCCATGCCTCCCTGCACCTTATCCACACACACAAAGACCATAGTGCAAACACCGCAGTGTCCTGCCAGTAGAGCTCAGAAAATTCCTTGGATCCATCACTCCCTGCTCTGCGGGTCCAGGCTGCAGGCCACCAGTCCCTGCCACTTTAGCTATCATTAGACCAAGCGATGTTGAACACTGCCTCCACCTTGCCGAAACGGAAGTGCCCAATGCAGCAGTACTGGGTCTGCAGTCTTGTTGCCGCTTTTCTGCCTGGTTGATCTTTGCTACAGACCCACGGCGGCCAAGGCCGGGAGCTGGAGATACGCCTGGTCTCTCGCTGGCTCCAGGGCCAAGGGCTGGGCTCCGCGTGCACTCGCGATGCTCCCGCGCGAAGTCCTCCGTCCTTTGCACGCTCACAGGCCTGGTGTCGGTCCACATCTCAAGCGCATGGCAACAACCTCTGGCCATTCAGAGCATAATGAAGAGAGGAGGGGAAGGCATGGACATCCCTGGGGTGGGAGCTGCTCTTGCTATTGATCCTTTTATAGCCCCACGTGAGCGCTTGCCTCTCCAAGAGAGAGCACCTGCACTCACTTAACAGCTTGCTTAGGCATCCTTCCAGCACGCCTGAACCTCCTGTTTCCTGGCCCGAGTTTGCCCCCAGCCTTTGCCTGACCCTCGTGCCAGCTGCCAGCGCTAAGCTCAGTTTTCAGCCCTGAACTGACTGTGGACTGTGCCCAAGTGGAGTCAGGGCTGTGCTCATGCCACCTCACACAGCAGGATGCTTCCCTCTGCATGTCAGCCCCCAAACGCGTGTTCACAACAACCAGTCTCCATGTGGCGTGCAAATGTGGCTACATTATCACTGGGATGTTTCTCTGCAAAACCCCAGCTTCTCATCAACACAGTAACCTCGTGCCCAGCATCTGTGTCCCCTGCAGCAGCCAGCCTTGTGCCTGGATGATGGCTAACTCTATGCTGTAGGGAGACCCAATAGGACCAGCTGGCCCTGTCTAACATCCTGACCCAGATGTCCACTGGAGAGCCTCCTGCTCCTACCCCTTCATGGCCAGGTTTGTATCTCTCCCCTACCATAGCATCTTCTGCAGATGGGGATGGTGAGCAGCAAGAGCAGGCGCCAGAGGCAGCCAGGGCACCTCAGCCACATTGTGAAGACAAGAGATGTCCACTTATCTCAGCCAGCATTTACTGAAGGGGTATTGAACGGTGCTCTCTGACCATGCACAGCCAAAGCAGGGTCATCTGCCATCTTTGTCCCAGCAAGGCAGCACAGCCAGGGGAACCACACGTAGCAAGAGCAGGGCGTTTGGGAACCCTGTCCCCATCTCCCCACCTCCTGCTCCCCCTGTCACTAACCCACAGCATCTCTTTGAAGCAAGGTGGGGCCAGGGTGGTCCTCGCCTGCACAATGTGCCCAAGGGAGTGCAGCCAAGTCACCTCACTCCTGTGCAGGAGGTGAAGGAGACATCACTTAGACCACAGTTTCCCTGTCCCAACTCCGAGGAGGGTGCGTGAGTGACTATGGGGAGCTGGACCGGCAGACCTCACCGGGACAGGATCCTGGAACTGTAACATGGATTCGTGAGAAGCCTTCAAGCCTGCCGGGGAAAGGAGAGCCAGCACAGGATAGTGAATCGAGAAGACACTTTAATCAGATTTATCGGACAGATCTGGCTCTCCAAATAAATAGATTTATCAAAACAGAATAAAACAAGAAACCAAGGATAAATACATGTACCAAAACAACCTGAAAATCCCCCAAAGCTATTTCCAGTCTGGGTGACGGCAGTGCTGCTGCACACCCTCCTCCCCAATGCTGCAGAAATGGTCCTGTTTGCCCTTTGGGAGATGCCTCTCCTGTGAATACAGCACAGTAGATATTATGTAGGATATATATATAAATATATAGCATAATAACATGCTTAATAGCTACCTTAGTGCAGTGTTTGGGGTCTCAGACCCAGCTAGCTGCTAGCGCCAGAGGTTACATCTTTGCAGACTACCATGGCAAGGAAATGGAGCCTCCTGCGAGGGGCATTGACTTGCGCAGGGGAGCCCCGGGGACGATGGACATCATCAGGGTGACACCAGTGATCAGGGTGGCATTTCATGCCCCAGTCCCAGCTGGGTCTCCCAGCCCTGAAACGAGTAGCAGTTTTGCTGCTGAATTTGCCAAGAGTGGGAATGGTATATATGTTGGTATATAAACCCGTCGCTGGTGTGTAAATTAAAGTCAAATTTTACTGGACTTGAGGACAACTGTAGTGTTTGCCCTGGCTGCCCTTTGGCAGTGGGAAGGGGTAGTGTGTGGGCTCAGGTGTGTGGCTGCGTGCCAACCCCCTGACAGGCTGTGACACCCCATTGGCCCGCAGAGACTTCCCTGGGCTTGCAGGAACTTTGCTTCATGTCTCCCACCAAATGCTAAGAGCATGTCAGGGTCCCCCAGTCCACATAACATGGAGAAGGAAATGGAGGGTGGGGAGGACAGAGCGGCCCTGGCTCCCTTACTGGGACCAGTCCTAGTTGCTGTTCACCTCTGATGGCCACAATGGCAACGGCACTGGGAGGTGTCCCCCAAGAGCCCAGCAGCAGCAGCATCACTTGGCGACCAGCACAGCCTAGGATGTCCTTGCAGGAGCAAAGCACAGCTGAAAGCGGCCGTGGCGGTGGCCAATGCTGCATTTTCCCCCTTCAGCATCCTCCCTCCACAGCAACAGGGCAACATCACTGCCCCAAGTCCCTTTCTCCTCTCCAGCATCAGCAGGGCACCCTGCCAGGTGGGGAAGGGGAGTTAGGAGCAACAAGGTGAATTCCTGCGGGAGAGTGGGGCGGACAGTGTAGGTGGGAGGATACATTCCTGCCCTGCCATGGCACCCAGGAGCGGGGCCATTACCATGGGATGGGGCTCCTAAAGCTTCACAGCCAAAAGGAAGTGCACTTCTTGCTGGGAAGGGAAAGTGGAGCTGAAGGGAGAGAAAATTACGGGGTTGACCATGGACAGCTTGGGCCGGGTGCAGCCCAGGGCAGCTGTGTCGGAAGGAAAGCCAGAGGCTGTGGGACCTCCTGCATCTCTTCTCCCTCCACACTCTGCACTGACGCAATGGGTTTCAGAGGCTGAATCTGCCCTCTCAGAAAGTGCATCTTCGAATGACCTGCAAAGAAGGAAAAGTCCCCTAAAACCTCCTGCTGGTTGTGTGCTTTGCCTCCTCAGGAGATAGAAGGAAGGCACAGAGGTCTCCCCTATCAGTTTGGTTTCCAGGATTTTTTTGTGCTTTGTTCCTTTTCTTCCCAGCAGGAAGGTCAGGTCTTCTCTTCCTGGTGAGAAAGCTGGAGAACAAGGCTAAGAAGTCATCTGCTGACCAGGAGAAAAAAAGACTTTCAATCTTTTATCAAGGGAGACATATTTCCTTTCCTGGTGGCCGGGAATTTGATTTAAAGAGCTGGTAAGTAGAAAATGCAAAGTCAGACATGAGAATCTCCTGAAATAAAACTCCTCTTCCTCCTCTACTGCTGCTGTTTAGGGCCCCAGGCCAGCCAGGTGCTGAAGTATATCATGAACCTGGAGAAACTAAAGATTTCTACAGACAGAGGCATGACCACTCTCAGGATTTAAGTCTGACCAGCCCTAAGTCCTGGCTGAACTGGGGCCTGCTTATCTTGCAGTAGTAAGGTATTTCTAGTCCTCCAATCCTCCAAGGATTCTTCCAGCTAAAACAGAGGAGAGAAGACCTGAGATTTTTAGAGAAGTACCCTTTGAAGGGACTTTCAGCAAAAGAAACTCTCTGCAGATCAAAGGAGTTCCAAGAGAGGAAACTGAGAGACTTTCTCTCCTTTCAGGTCATCTTTAAGCTGGCAGTGGAAGAAAGGATGGTCCTGTCTTCTTCTTTTGCTGT